GTTTTTTGTGGGGGATCGACAGGCAGTCTTTAGGTGCAGTGTGCTGATCAAAGCCTGGTGCACACTCTGACTGTATCATTAACCACTATATCACTTCCCTAGAATTCTTTACCTTAAAGTTTGCCTCTGGATTCTCTTATTGTAGTCAGTGGAGTGGTAATATTTTGGATTGACCACAAAAACAAAAAAATCTCATTGTTTCAGACTAAGACACGGGCTCGGTGCCTGTGGCTCAAGCGGCTAAGGCGCCAGCCACGTACACCTAAGGTGGCGGGTTCAAATCCAGCCCGGACCCGCCAAACAACAATAATGGCTGCAACCAAAAGATAGCCGGGCGTTGTGGCAGGCGCCTGTGGTCCCAGCTACTTGGGAGGCTGAGGCAGGAGACTCGCTTGAGCCCAGGAGTTGGAGGTTGCTGTGAGCAGTGAAACCATAGCACTCTACCCAGGGGGACAGCTTGAGGCTCTGTCTCAAAAAAAAAAAAAAAAAAAGACACGAAAAATGGTTTTGCTCTATGAGTAGATTTATCTAGGAAGGATTGTAAAAACTTCAGACTCAGTTTAAAACATTTTTTTCCTTCATGAAATATAAAAATACACCACCCTTCACCATCATTTTCCCCTTCCAGTATCCAAAAGATGACTTTTTTTCCTAGCACAAATCACTTGTTTACTCTTGGCCTCATAGATTCATCCTCTGAGGCAGCTTGCCAGTTCATTGGGTGCTTTAGAGCAGTGACAGATGGGAACAAGCAAGGAAGGAGGGGGAGTTTGAGGTTCCCTACCCCCATTCCTCCACCTCTTTTTCCAGCCATACATGTGTTTCTCAGACACACTACTTGATCCTTCAAATCACAACAAAGGAAAAGCTTCCAAAGTTGACCTAATTAATGGATAATTTTCTAAAGATGAACACTGTCAAGACAAAACCTTGCATATTTTTATATGCAGACAAGTTTGCTACAGTGGAAATGAAGCTTGAGACTTGGGCATAAAGAATTGATTATGGGGAATTTTGTGGCTGTGTGAGATTCTTAGTCCACTTACTTGAATTAAATTGAAGAACACTATAATCAACATCCCATAAGATTAACTGTCCCTCTGATTAGTAAAAGACAGATAAGTACATGAGAGAGACTGATTCTACCTCATCAGACAATCCTCATGACCTCAGCTATGAAGATATATATACTGAAATTTCCACTAGAAGAAGCCTGAAAATTTTCTACAGGTTACCTCTTCGAAAGCCTCACTTCTTAGCAATTACCCTAACGAACAGAGCAGTAAAATTTTTGCTTTTTGCAAAAGCATGAGTCTGGGTTCTTAAAATATTATGAAACAGACTCGGGCACCCGTAGCTCAGTGAATAGGGCTCCAGCTACATACACGAGAGGCTGGCTGGATGGAGCCCACCCCGGGCCTGCTAAACAACAATGACAACTGCAACTAAAAAACTAGCTGGGCGTTGTGGTGGCACCTGTAGTCCCAACTACTTAGGAGGCTGAGGCAAGAGGATCACTTAAGCTCAAGAGTTTGAGGTTGCTGTGAGCTGTGACAGCATGGCACTCTACCAAGGGCCACATAGTGAGACTGTCTCAAAAAAAAATTATGAAACAAAAGACAGAGAAAAATTGCTTAGAATACTGACTCTAACATGGAGCATCAGAAAATTCAGCCTTGTTGCCAGAAATGAATACATCTGATTCATCTTTTGTATTAATGTATTAGATAGAAGCATTTTTTTCTCCTTGATGAGAAGTAATTATAAAATGTTATTTTCATATTAAAACCAAAATATCCACCATAGAGCAGCACAAAATACAGTGGCCTTTTAAAGTGAATATGAGAAACCTACCTAACAGGCAATGAACCTTATTCCAGCCATGGGCACACTTACAGCCCTGACTCAAACATTACAAAAGCTATCCATGTAACAAAAACACTTGTACTCTCATAATATTTTGAATAAAAAATATTTTTAAACCAAGAAAAAATAAATAAAATGAATATGATATTTTAGGCCACAGTGGCTCTATGATCTAAAATTCCTTGTAATCCCTGCTTTGGGAGGCCGGGAGTTCACAACCAGTCTGGGCAACAGAACAAGACCCTGTCTCTACAAAGAAATTTTTTAAACAATTATCTGGGAGCTAGGTGCAGGTGGTTTATGCCTATAATCCTAGCATTCTGTGAGGCTGAGGCAGGAGTTTCATTTGAGGTCAGGGATTCAAGACCAGCCTGAGCAAAGCAAGACCTTGTCTCAACTAAAAATAGAAAAAATTAGCCAGCCATGGTGGCACATGCCTATAGTCCCAGCTATACCAGAGGCTGAGGCAGGAGGATTGCTTGAGCCCAGGGGTTTAAAGTTGCTATGAGCTAGGCTGAGGCCATGGCATTCTAACCTGAGCAACAGAGCAAAACTAAAAAAACAGCTGGGCATGATCAGACACACCTTTGCTACTCAGGAGACTGTGGCAGAAAAAGGATCTCTTGAGCCCAGGAGTTCAAGGTTACAGTGAGTTCTGATCACACCACTGCACTCCAGTCTGGGTGACAGAATATCTCTACTAAATAAATAAAGTTAATATGAGATTTTAGAGAAATGTTTACATTTGGAGAGCTTCAAACTATTAACATACATAAAAGAACTTTGTGTGGAAAAGTTTTTGAGAAATACAGTTTACATTTGGGATAAGATTGAGCTGATCAGCTTGGTGCCTGTGGCTCAACCGGCTAAGGCTCCAGCCACATACACCTAAACTGACAGGTTTGAACCCAGCCCGAACCCGCCAAACAATAATGACGGTTGCAACCAAAAAAAAAAATTAGCCAGGCATTGTGGCAGGCACCTAGGGTCCCAGCTACTTGGGAGGCTGAGGCAGGAGACTCGCTTAAGCCCAGGAGTTGGAGGTTGCTGTGAGCTGTGATGCCACGGCACTCTACCCAGCACAACAGCTTGAGGCTATTTCAAAAAACAAAAAGATTGAGCTGATTGATATAACACACTGATAGTATAAGAGAAATTAAAAGAATTAAAAGTTATGCCCCATCATGCCACTGTTATCCTGTATATAAATCACGCCCACCTCTTCCATGAAGCCCTCAGCTTCACCTAGGCTCACCTATGTCAAAGCAGGCTGTTGCTTGTTCTGAATTTCTTCCGTGTCTGTAAGTATCCATAGATTAGATACATGTATAACTTGCTGGGCCACAGATCCAAAGACTGCTTATTTCACATTCTGGTACAATTTATTCACTTGCTTGTGGCATCACCCATCGATTTCTCACCAAAAGCACTATCTATCCACACTTCATTGGGTGATGGGAACTGGTGAGGGAGATTGTGGGGTTAATTACCTTGACACTTACCTTACCTTGAAACTTTCTCTATCCAGGTATGCATGTTTTATCTCCCACCGTCTGTATCACATTTTCCCAATTGCCAGGGCCTGATATGCAGGGCCCCACCTTCTTCCCACATAAATCATCAAGCAAAGCCAGTGACTCCACTCAAGTGCCCCTTAGACTGATTTCAGTCTAATGGGGCTCCACTCAGGTCAGCTCTGGTTGTTGTGGATTACCTAAACAGCATTACTGTAAAGAGTTGCGTCAGCTGAACGTGTCCTCCTTTCCCCCCACAGACGTAACCAGTGCGGTGCAATCCAAGCGAAGAAAATCCAAGTGAACAAGCTGGGCGGCAACTCGATACTTGTAAATGTGTGTGAATTTTACAAAGAGCAATTTTGAGCTGTGACTTTTTTAAATCCATTTCTGTACAGTAGTCATTTTAATAATGTGGCCGTTTTCCTAATCCCTGCAACCTGTTTTGTAAAGTACAGCAGGGGAAGCAGGGTTGTTGAGCCCTTTGCTGTTGCAAGATGACATTCAAAGTTTCTAAAATGTTGTCATGTATTGAGAGGAGTTAATGCCATTATAAATGTTACTAGTTTTTACATTTCCTAAGCAACCTAGAGTACAGGGTGACCATTTTTAGATCTTCTAATGATGTATTGTGCCGTGGAAGTACTGTGTGTGAATAGCAGTAGCGGAGGCAAACGCAATCTTCTCATTTGGAAGTGTTGTAAATAATTTTATTATATAGTGTTTTGGATGTATTTGTTGTAGAAATGGACCAGTGAATAAAGAGAATCTAAGGGTTTGTACAATGTGAAATACTGAATGTGTTAAATAAATGTTATTGTTATAGAACACAAAGGTTATTGGTAAGGGATTATTGGGTAAGCAAACTTTCTTGGGCTCATACATGAGTAGACACAGCCTTCTTTGTAAATTAGACTCCTATCTTGTGCCCTGGGATTCCTACCTGGCAAGTTGAAGGAAATGCACATACTTGCTCTCTCAACTTATTCTTGGCTTTGAAGGAACTAGCCCTGTCTTCAGCACTGTACCACTGTACATTTCTTTTGGTTGCAAATAACCAACTGAAAGGATCACAAGCCACCCAGGATTTCCTAAGGCCAGGAAGCTATCAGCAACTCAGCACTTTTTCACCAATATGCCCAGGTTTTTCTCTTTCCTGGCTCAATTCTTCAAAATTTATATAGTTCCTAAAGCCAATTGCTTCTGCGCCTACCCCACCCGCAACCTTTAGGAGACTCCAGTGCAGGGGGTTTGTCCTTGTGTCACCTTGGGTCTACTGTCTCTACTAGGGCATCCCTTCCCTCCAGGGGATTCTTGCCCTTGCCATAATCCAACACCTGAGACCAAAAGGATGAGTTGATGATTCTCTGTCACGCTTTTTTTCTCATCTCTATTTCAGCTGTCTTCATGTATGTGTCATGCATTATGAGGATCATCTAAAAGTAGTTGAGTCAAATGCCACATTGTCTGGCTCAGTTCCCAGGAAGCTTATCTACCCTCTTGCTTTCTCATATGGCACACACCAGAACCAAAGACAGCTTAATAATAATACTGTATGCCACTACTGTGCTTGAGATTACAAAGTGCTTCTCATACTTTAGCTCAACTCAGAAAGCATAATGTGCTTTAAATAGATTTTTATTTGTTTTTCTTTATATTAATTTTTTTTCTCCCATAGAGGAATAGCATTATAATCTAACAATCAGAATCCTGTTACATACATACACAGGCATGCCACATGACCAGGTTGAGGTGGTTGTTTTCTTGAGTCTGTTGACATAGCACAACATGGTCAACCAAAATCTCCTTATATCAGCCAGCCTCAACACAAAACACCCAACAGGGATGCATTCAACTTGTTGATTCCATTCGGAACTAGATGGAAGGGTAAGAGGGAAAGTATTAGAGGTGGGCTATGATGTGTTTGCATTCAGTCCCCTCACATAAAGTCACGCAGATCTAGAGAGGCATTGAAGAGCTCTAGTGGGGTCCCTGTTGCACCTAAGACATTGTGAATCAGAGCAAGTTGATCAGAAGGTTCCAGATAGGGATTAGGGGAGCAGGCATACTCTAAAACAGCACCAAACTGCACTCAAACATACATAGTGCCCTGCTGGGGCTAGACTGGCAAAGGCCGTAAAGTGACACCCAATGTGAAGGAATCACTCAGACTTAACTAGGGAATAACTTCGAGAAGTCACTCTTTGATGTAACCAAGACTCTAGATACAGGTCTTTCTGACATAAGTTTTGGCAAAGTGCTGGTAATATTGACATTAATATTCACAAACCAGTACACATCTCCAGGGTCTCTGAAAACATTGGCTAAGACAGACTCTCTAACCCCTCCTGTCTAAGGTTGCATAGGACTTTGTAAATTCTGGTTCCCTCATTTATTCAAGTTCTGTAGTTAAAAAAAAAATCCTGAAGCATGCTCAAGGTGAAAGGCACATACACAGTCAATACAGTATGACAAGGTCTGATGCTTCAGGAGTCAGACTAGCAGGAGACTGAGTAGTGTTGATTCTTAGAAATCTGTACACAATTAAAATATTGCCACACTCAAATGCTACAGAATCTATAGGAAAATACAAAAAAAAAAAAAAAAGCCTTGCAACCAGCTGAGAGGTTGGAAGGTTCTAGAAGAACTATAGGAGCCTCTAGAAATATAGGTAAGGGCAGGACCTTTTGAAAATTGAGCCAAATACCCTATTATATCTTAAACTCTTTCCTCACCAGAAGGATCATGGGTACTGGCTAGGACTTAGCCTAGGCCCCAGCTGGTAGTGAGGAGTAGGGAAGGAAGGGCTGGAATTTCAGCTCTTGGAAGTGCCAAGACCCTAGGCTGGCTGTGAATTAACTGCCCAGTGGGTGGCTGGAAGAATAAAAGCAACTAGGTTGTAACAAAATTTTGGGAGAGGAGGAGCAAGGTTGTCAACTATTACAGCCATAGTAGACTGGCATGGGGACTTTGATCTGTTTTTAGTATGATATTAAGCCTATACTCTGGGATAGGAGAAACCAACAGGTCTTTCTCCAACCTATGGCAGCATCCATGGGGATACCCCATCCCTTACCCACATATCCCACATAATGCCTGAGGGCTATAAGGTCAGGGAGGGCAACTGCCATAGCCCTCATGGGAATGCAGAGTTTTCTCTAAGCCTAAGCTTGGCTGTGACACCTAGAAACCTATAATCGGAGTGAGAGGGAAGACCTATATTAGTATGTAACAGGAAATCTTAAAAGTTTCAAAGAAGAAAGAGCACACACCAGATAAGGACAGCTATAAAGAGGAAATAGGAAGAAACTCGGGGCATCCCAAGAGGCTGTTGCTGGTGTCTGAGCTCAAAATTCAGTCCTACCAGAAGAAAGAAAACAACTAGCTGCCCCTCTCCCCTCTGTCTTACCCAGAGATTCAGGTACCCTCCTCTACATACTTAATGAAGACGGAGGAGAGGCCACAGGGCATCCATTTCTCCCCAGCAGCCTAGAAAGAAAGAGCCCTTTGGGAGAAAATGAGAAGCAGCCCCCTGAAGCCCTGAACCTGGATAGGGGCGATTGGGAGACTGAGACAGTGGGGCTCCTGGCCTCCCAACTCAGGAGTGTTTATTAGCCATACTGAGCGGGTGTGAAATACAAGGCCAGAGGCAAGATGAAGGCTAAGCTGTCTTGAGATGGCTTCATCCCACAGTTCATTCTCTCCAAGCATCATTCTCTGCATTCTTACCTGGGGTGTGGGCGCTTTCCACCAAGAAGCCCTCTGGCCTGCATCTCTCCTAAGCTAGTTCTAGCACCTTGGACATGTGAACAGATAGCCAGGATGGCAGGGCCTTGCCTAGCTTCTACTCTGGGGTGGCATGTCAGGGGTAGAGTGGCAAGGTACTAACCAAGCCCTTCAGACTCAGGGGTCTGCAGACTCAGGTGGATTTCAGGAAGAGATCTGGGAAATGAATTATAGGAAAGGGAAGTAGGGGCAGACTCCAGGCTTTGGCCTGAGAGCAGGGCTTGGCCTCTCTGAGCAAGCACAGTACAAGCTCCCATGGTGCCCTGCTCCCTACAGCTTCTCAACCAGTCTGTCCTGTCAACATCTCCAGTATGCTGCTCCTTTCCCTCAGTTCCCTCTTACTTCTCCCTCTGACACACACATCTCACTATCCTCTTCCACATACTTTACCTTTCCAGGCTTAAGCAGCTCCAAGGAGCCCAGCCCCTAGGGCAGAAGGAAAGAGGAAAACTAAGAGCAAAACCCTGAGCCTGAGCCCTTTCTGGAAGGCAAGGACAGAGGCCCAGGCCTCACAGGTTGTACCTGATCAGAGCTGGGCTCAGGGTCCCCTCCGTTTGTTATTATTGGGAATGAATAATAAGGGAACAAGAGTGAGTGTAAAACGTCAAACATGGGATAGTGGTGAGTCATGTAAGGTAGAAGCTGAAAGGGGAACGGGCCAGATCAGGGACAGGAATGAGGCTTTCAGAAATAGAGGTGGGCTAGAGGCAGAGGACTGGACAGAGGGTGAAAGGGACAAACAGGAATGGGGTCCAGAGAAGAAAGGATGGAAGGTTAGGAATGGGGGTGGGGAGGGTTGGAGGATTAGATGCTGTGCGTGGGGACCAGGGGAGGGAGGGTGAAGGGTTCAGAGGCAGGTTATAGAGGATCAGAGATTGAGTAATCGAGAGAGTCCAGGACAGAAGAGCTATCACCCAACCTCACACACTTTAAGCAGCAGGGAGGTTGTGGTGTCCAGCCCAAGGCGGGCTACAGCTGCCCCTCGAGAAGCACAGTGGCTACTGCAGAGGGGACAGAAGCGGATCGCAGCCTGGGTTCGTGGGGCGGCCAACGGAAGCTTAGTAGTTGAACTGGCGCCGACACGGTTGGTAGACAAAACTGCCCTGGTGCTTGGGCCGGCGCGGACGGCTCTCGCGGGCTCGGTTCTGCCGCTGCACCACCTTGGCGCTCAGCGCGTGGCGCTCGGCCCTCTGCCGGGCTCGTTGCAGCCGCCTCATCTGGCCGGCCTTCTCCAGCAGCACTGCCCGCGCCGGCAGGGGAGCGGCAGCATGGCGCAGGGCCCGGGGCTCGCGGCGGGCAGGCGCCAGCTCTCTGCAGGGACAGAGAGGGGCTCTGTCAGTTCTAGCACCTGTCACAAGTAAACTGGTCCAGCGGAGTCTCTGCCTAAACCCCTAATTCCGCCCTTGCCTTCTGTACAAACCAGTGGACCGACCACTACCTCGGTGCTCCAGCTCCGCCCCTCAAGCCTCCCAACCCCACCAAAGCCTCTGGACCACAAGCCCCGCCCTGGGGCACACCCACCGCCAAATCCCCGCCCCTTCATGCTCAGCCTCTGTTGCTCTTAGCCTCGGGGCCCTCTACCCCACCCCACCCGGCCCATAGGCCACACCCTTTATCTCAAAGACATGCCTCTCAAGGCCACAACCCCCTTAAGTTCCAGGCGGGCTCCGGGCCTGGCCTCCTTCTGCCTCCTAGCCTGGACTCTGGTCTCCAAGATTCATGTCACTCGGCTTCCAGGGCCCTTCCCCAGCCCACTCACCGGTCGCTAAGGTCGCTAAGATCGCCGTCAGGCAGGGCAGCGTCCGAGTGCGGGGACGGCGGCCCAGGCTCTAGCACTATGGTGCTGCCGGTGACGTAAACGGACATGCTTGGGTGCTCGATAAGGAGGTCCTCCAGGGGGCTGCTCTGGAGACGGGTGGGCCCGAGTCCAGGCCCCTCTGCAGTAAAACATGCGGGAGGGGTAACAAACCAGCTCTCGTCCATCAAGGAGGGCGCGGGTGGGGGGCGGCCTGCTGGGGCTGGGGCGGCCCTGGGGTTGGGTGGAGCCGCGTAGCTGTCTACCGGGCGCAGGAGGGGGGAAGCCATGCAGAGGAGCAGCGGGGAGGGACACACACACACGGGACACAGTGGGGCAGAGAGAGAAAGGGCATCGTTAGTCAGACCCGCAGATCTGCCCCCAGCGCCCACAGGGCACCCATAGGCCAGGAGTCTCAACTTGCCACCCGAACGGACCTTATCTGTGGCCCCTAACACTGCCCTGCCAGAGGGCAGTCCAGGCTGTCCTGGGAAAGGGCTCTGTTACTCTACCTCCAGTGTGACTGGCTCAGCCCCAAGTCGCCCGGAAGGTTGGGGGAACTTCACAACCCCCCTAGCAGATCCTTCCCTCCGCTGCTCCACCATCTGCTCTTAGGATTACTTCACAGGCCCAAGAGTCAGAATCCTGGCCCCTGACTCAGGTCTCACCGGGAAGGTCAATGATGAGCCAGCCATCCACTTCATCCTCTTCCGAGACGAAGGCGTGGGAGCAGTCAGGGTCTTCGGGGGACGGAGGGGTGCTGAAGAAGAGGCTGGTGAGGCGCTGGAACATGGTGGGGAGTGAAGTGACCTCACGGGGGCGCTCTATGGCAGTGCAAAAGCCTAGGAATCATAGGAAGGCGTCAGAGCCACCACCGACTGAAGTCCACCCCTACTCCTACCCAGAGGACAGAGGATAGTACCCCCAGCACTTGAGCAGTGACAACAGATGTGTGCGGAGGCTTTTGGTGTGTGTACTTTCTGCATCCAAACCCAGGCTTTCCTGTCTTCTGTGTAACTTTAGAAAGTTATTTAACTTAGAACCCCTTCCTGTGAGCCCTTATAAGAATTAAACAAGCTGTTGGGGCTTACGCCTACAATCCTAGCACTCTGGGAGGCCCAAGTGGGTGGATTGCTTAGGTTTGGGAGTTTGAGACCAGCCTGAGCAAGAGCGAGACCCGGGCTCGTCTCTATTGAAAATAGAACTTTCCAGTCTTAGAAGCACAGGCTTATAGTCCCAGCTACTCAGGAGGCTGAGGCAAGAGGATCACTTGAGCCCAGAAGTTTGAGGTTGCTGTGAGCTAGGCTGACTCCATGACACCTCTACCCAGGGACATAGAGTGAGACTCTCTCAAAAGAAAGAAAAAAAAAAAAGAATTAAATGAGCTAATAATAGTATCCTCTTCCAGGCTGTAATAAGAATTAAGTGAGTTAAACACAAAGTGCTTAGAATACTGCCTGGGTACATAGTAAACATTCAACAAACTAAAAAAGTACATAAGACAGGGTACTTTGAGAACACAGAATAAGTGATATATATGACCAGGCTTCGTCAGGTAAGGTCTCCAGAGAATTGGACATCCAAGCTAGACCTTGAAGAGTAATGAATAGTTCTTCAGGCCGGGAACAAATTGCCTGTATTATGTTTATTATCATCATAATAATATAACAAACATCCATGTGCCAGATAATATACTTAAGAGCTTTACCTACATGACCTCGTATAATCCTCACAACCACTATAGGAAGTAGATATAATTACTACCCCTTTTATAGGTAAAGAAACTGAGGCTCAGAGAAGTAATGTATCTTGCCTAAAGTCTCATAGCTAGTAAGAGACAGAAGTGGGATTTGAACCCATGCAGTCAGATTCCAGAGGCAGCACTCAGAATCACTATACTCTGTTGCCTTTGTTGGGCATCTGTCTGGATTAGGCATTTTTGACATGGTGGCCAGGGACCATGGTTCATGTGTATTTTTCTGGGATGAAGGACCTTTGTTTTCAGCATGATTTCCTAAACAGCAGTCCATGGCCCCAGAGATTAAGAACCACTACTGGCTGGCGCCTGTGGCTAAAGTGGCTAAGGCACCAGCCACATACACCTAAGGTGGCGGGTTTGAATCCAGCCCAGGCCCACCAAACAATGATAGCTGCAACCAAAAAGAAAAAATAGCCAGGCGTTGTGGCGGGTGCCTGTGGTCCCAGCTACTTGGGAGGCTGAGGCAGGAGACTCACTTGAGCCCAGGAGTTGGAGGTTGCTGTGAGTTGTGATGCCAAGGCACTCTACCCAGAGGGACAGCTTGAGGCTCTGTCTCAAAAAAAAAGAAAAGAAAAAGAACCACTACTGAAGCCTATGTGGTTTGAAAAGCACAGGCAAGCAGAAATCCCACAGAATTGCTACAATCTCACCATGTGATTGGGCAAGACTCAGTTGTGTCTATCAGATGAGGTGTGAAGATCCTATGCAGGCAGGCCCTCCCTCTCTGGTCCCCTTTTCCCAGGCTCATGCTCAAGGGCAGCATCCCAGGCTGGGAGGAAGATCAGGTTCCCTGGTCACTGGCAAATAACAGGTCAGTGGGCAAGGATAATGGAGGAAGGGAGCTGTGGGATCCCAGGAGCCCTTAAAGATGAGCACTGAAGGTTGGACCAAGATTCAAGCCCTTATCTAGTCCTTCCCCTGGGTGAAGATCAGAAAAAAGGCCCCCTGCTCTAGCAACTGAGATACCAGTTGGTGGCCACTCTCCCCACCCTAGCCTCTTAAGTCTAGACCTTGGCTCAGTGCTACTGGCGAGCCCCCCAGGCTGTACCTAAAGCCTTACCTGCCACACCTGTCCCCTAAAGATGATCAATAGTTTTGCTGCTGAGCCACTTGTCACCATACTTCTTGGGGACTATCCATACTTCCACTCCCTGGAAGCATTTCTACTCTCACTGCTAACCCTCCTGGGATATTTTTATGCTTGTTATTACCTCTCCCATTCCCTAAATAGTTTTCACACTTGCCACAGAATCATCTAACCTTTATACTCTGAGAATATTTCCACATTTTCAGACCCAAACTGGGCTCAAGAAGGAAGTATTCCCTGGGTGCTGGCTTCCCTGGTGGGATGCCAGAGATTAGAAGGTTGGGCCTCCAACACAATACACATATCCTAACCCATATGTAACTATAGGGAGTTAGTGACTCAGTTATCAAAAATCCAGAAAGTGTAGCCCCTCCTGGAGGAAGGGAATACTGGGAGCTTGAGGAGGTACACACTTCTAAGAAGCTTCTACTTCATTGAGAAGATGAAAGGGAAATTTAGAGCTGTTTCAGGGGCCACCATATTTACCAAGCCCATTTTATAATCTGATGATAAGAAAGAGTATTGAGACTACCGACAGATATGTGGCTAGATAGTGAAAGGACAGGCCTAGCCCCAGATCACTGAAGATCCAGTCCAGAGTGTACATGGTCAGCAAAACCTCAGCAAATATAATGAGGCGGATCCCCTCAGCCCGCCTCCTCCACTGTTTGCTTGTTCCTACCCAGAGCTGCACTCAGAGCCTGCTGGGCCTCCTGGAGAGAGACATTCAAACAAAAGCTTCAATATAGTCACTGCCCCTCTGTCCAGCTACAAAAGGGTCTGGGATTCTTGGCACCAAGATTCAGCATGCATTTACCAAAGCACCCACTCTGTACCAGAGCCTGCACTGGGCCTCCTCAAATTACAGACAGATTTAGGTAAGAGAGATTCCCAAGGAGAAGTTTCCTGCCTGAGGTCACACAACAAGTCAGTGATGGCTAGGAGTGACAGCAGCACCAGACAGCCAGTGCCTGCTCCCTCTCCTGACCACTGGAGGAGCCTCCTATAGTTCCTTTCCCAGCCTTGCCAGCTTCCTCCTTCTCACACTCCCAGCTCTGCTCCAGGGAGAACATTCCCTTTAATAACTACAGCAGCTGTGCCCAGAATAGCATTTGAGCCCTAAGCCACCCCTACTCCCAGCTCATACTTGAGGAAAACCTAACTGGGATGGGGCTCCTGGGCTTCTAGGCACATACCCTTGGAAAGTTAGAAGCTCTTGTTCTCCTACCCCTTCTCCCACACTCTCTGTGAACAGAGAGAGGGGGCAGCAGAACCCTTGCAATCACCAGCACTATGCCAGGTCTGAGCCCTCCTAGCTGACAACCCAGGGAGTTGGGGAGGTGATGAAGGGCCAATAGAGGGAACCTGCATCCCACCTTCCACCCCGACATCCGCAGTGGAGACACTCTGAGGAAGCCAATGACTCACCTTTCTGTGGTCAAAACAGCCAGGAAGTTGTGATTTTACTGGACTGTGAGGGCTCCGAGGTACAAAGTGAGGACAGAGGGGGTCAGGGCCACAAAAGAGGACCTAAATCCAGAGATCTCCTGGGAAAAGGTCCAGGAATGAGAAGACCTAGCAGTCCTAGCAAATAGGGATGACACTGACTCCTCCCCAATGGGAGGATATGTATCTTGCTACTTGTATTGAGCTCCTACTATATAATACATGCCCATGGCTAATGCATCTCTACTCACTCAGTGAACCTGACGCTAATTGGCTATGTGACCTCTAGTAAACTACTTCTCCTCTCTGGCCTCAGTTTCTTCTTCCATGAAATGGGGTCTAAGACCCTCATATTGGTGCTGGGAGTGACGTCAGCTAAGGCGCTGCATACAAGTAAGGGATTAGGGGGATGTTGTTATGTTAGTCCCTGGAGGGGCGGAGCCTGGAGACGGAGGGAGGGGATTCCACCACCATCTGGTGCTTCCCCAACCACCTGGAGTCAAGGCCTCTCTGAACTCCATGATCCCTTCCAGTCAGATCTGGCAGTGCTGACTCCTTCTTAGATCTCAAGTTAAAAATAGGGAATCAGAGGCCTGACCCCTACCCCCTGGATTGACCAGAAAAATCACCGAGCCCCGCTCCGGCCCTCCTTGGATTTCAGCGTCTCTCACCCGTGGCCTAGTCCCCACACAGCGGCCACAGGGTCACGGGAGGACAGGCGACCCGAGCTGGGGGGCGGTGCCGGCCTTGGTGACGTCTCAATGTCATATGCAAATAAGCAACGTCATTGTCGACCGGGCGTGCAGCAACCAATCGGGAGCAGGGAACGTAGCCCAGGCGGACGCCGGCGGAGACAGACAAAGGCCCGGGAGCTGGGGGCGCTGGGCATGTCCCGGGGCTCGGGAAGCCCCCAGGCCAAAGCTGGTCGGGACTCACCTGAGGATGGGGGCGGTGCAGCAGACGGGGGCGGCGCTGAGGTAGCTGTGCGGCGGAGCGTCCCAGGGTCGCCACCTGGTCACAGGCCGGGTCGCATCGCTGGGACCGAGCAGGGGAGGCAGCAGGCTAGCCGTCCGACGCTCCGGGCTGCTGCGCTCGCCCGCGGGGCTTTGAGTCTATGCGCCGCTGCTGCGCGGCTCACGGCACAAATTGGAAGGTTCAAACAGCTGATTGTGACGTCACAAAGGGGCCCGCCCGCCGCGTCATCCGCCGGTGGAGCGACCGCCAATCCCGGGCTGCGGATCCCCTCGCCCCGCCCCCTCCACGGTTTGCTGGTGATTCCTGCCTGGGAGCCGCACTCGGAGCCTCCTAGGCCTCCCGGAGAGGCGACTGTTGGGACACTGTTTGCTCCTGCGGAGTATCTCCGCTCCTTCCTATGGGATCCTCATTTTCTTTTTTCTTTTTTTTTTTTTTTTGAGACAGAGCCTCAAGCTGTCCCCCTGGGTAGAGTGCCGTGGCATTACAGCTCACAGCAACCTCCAACTCCTGGGCTCAAGCGAGTCTCCTGCCTC